ATGAATGTCATTAATTTTATTACATTAGAAATCAATTTCCTCCCGAAACAATACCAATCATATTTCCTAGAGGCAGATTCTTTTCATCAAATTAAAATATTCATAGGTTTGGTTTTGATTAATTTCTTAATCCCAAAATCTAAATAAAATACATCCGAGTGTTTCAATGTGATGAATTACTTCATGTTTAGCATAGACATTTCAATGATAACTTCCTTAAATAAGAATTATTTCATTCATCAAACTCACCTACATAAATATCTGGTAAATGTTTATAACCAAAGTGGAAGAAAAGTCACCTTTATGTCACAATAAATCTAACCAAATACATTAGCATAGCGATGTTAAATAAAGCCCCAGGGTTGGACAGTGTGTGAAAACACTCACTAGTGTGTATTACACATGTATGCTGTGATTTATATGTAAATTGTATTGGTAGTGCAAAATAAAATCTGACCTATTTTAGAATTCTATTATGATTTCAATTGATCACTTGTGTATCAGACCATTTTCAATCATCATTATGTCACTAGATCATCTGTAACAAGCTCTAGTGTATATAAGTTGCTTGTTAAAAGTGACTTATATGTTGTCATCTATTGTCACTTCAGCATTTTCATTATCTAAGAGGTATGCCCTTGGGCAAGACACTAACTAATTCTGTATTCTTTAAAAATATATATTTAAAGATAGTACCTAAAAAAGAACAGAGACTCCCACTTTCTGAGAAAGTTCAAAACTAGTGAATTAATTAAATTGCAATATAAATAAGTGCATTTTTTTATCAGTGCAGATAGGATATTCAATGATTTTTAATGGCATATGCCTGGTATATTTCACAAGTATGATAGAATACCTGTATACCAGGTAGATGTTATATTAGTGAAATATATGTCATCTTGAATGGGAGACAATTTTTTTCCCCTTTTATTATGTTTTAAAAGAAAAATCAAATAGAAAAATTCCAATCCAATTAGAAATTAAACTCATATTCAAGAAAGGTAGGGAAATATTGGCACATTCTTTGACATCAGATAGCTTGACACAACACCTTAACAACAACACAACAATATTTTAAATACAATGCTTTAGATTTAGAAAAGTATTTACCATTTTATACCGTCATCTGGTAAGACTGATTTATCAAACTATTTTCACATACGAAATTAGAGAAAACCCAATGTATGTAGAGATTTAATTGAAAACAAAACCATCTGACCTTTACTTCATTTGTGTTTTAACAGTGTGAGGCACTGCTCTGATTGGTCAAAATCATACAAATTTATACGTAAGATTTTATTAAATGATAAATTTCTATATTTAACAAAAACTTTACACATTTTGGTTACTATAAACATATAACTTCTTTGCTTTGTGTTCTCTTTCTTTAGCCACTCCAATGTTCAAGAGAAAGTAAAAGTGAATCCAGCCCATCTCACAAGATCTGAACTTATAATTAAGTGTCCAGCTGAGACACATCACTCCTCTACCTGTTTATATTCTTGCTATGAAATAACCTAGCACCAAATCCTTCTACACACATGTTAATGTATATGTGGAACGGATTTATATACTTTTGATGAAATTTTTTAAAAATCTGGATGTTAAGAACATGTACTATAAGTATGTTATTTTATCTTTCCTTCCTTTACAAACATGTCTCATTTCTATAGTTATTATCAATTATTGGACTCATTTATGCTCGAATATTGTGGCACCACAGTATCCTCTGTTATCTTGTTGACAAAGTAGTGGACAATAAAAATCATGTATATCAGTCAAATATAGTTTTGTTTCGCTGACATCAAATAAAATCCTACACTGTCAATATGGAAGCCATTAAAAAGAAATTCGTTAAAAAGAAAAACTCAAAATGTAAATCACACTATATTATTTCACAAACATGAGTTACATTTTATCATCTTTGTTTGGAAAGTTGTTAATTTAGGTGTATCAACACACCAGTCTAATGGAGGAAGGCCTGCTGTTCCTTCCCTGTGATATCACACTGATCTCTTATTTTGTTTTCTTAAGCCTTAGATTTAGATAATGAAGTTAGAATCATGATGAAATACATGGACCTGTCCATATTAAAGGAGAGGAATACCCACACAGTACAAGTATGAATGTAATCAGAGATGAATACACTTTTGTATAGGGCTGATCTATGATCACACTTGAGCTCTAACTGACCTATTGTTCTGCTCAATGACATGACTTCCTGAACAGAAGTAAGAAGATTGAGAGATTTACTAGTGTGGTAAGCAAAGCCCACCATCAGTAAGTACAAAGTTTTAGTACTGGTTTGATCCCCCAGCCTCCCCAAGGTCTACAAACTCTTAGCCTTATATAGGATTACACTTTGTCCCTAATCCCCTCTATCTATTGTCAGAGCTGACCATTAACTGACCAAAACCACACAAGGCACTGAGTCATTGCCTGTACACTTAATATGAATGCAAACAACCAATGAAATGTCACAAACACAAAGCCTGTGACAAAAGGTGGTATATTGTAATAATCACCATACTAACATTTACACATTAAGCATCCGTGTAAAAAAGAATAGAATTTCTCAGCATTCAACAACAGGTAGTGAAACTTTGTCTTCCTGTAACTGCTGTCCACAAGCACGTAACTCTGACTCAAGAATTTTCTCTGGGTTTCAAGATCCGAAATAAAAATAACACAGAAGTTAATAACTTCCCCAAATAGCTATTGACTTGATCTTTCACCCTACATTCTTGTCTAAGTGTCTTGCAACATAAAACAATGTTCATTCATATACACCTAATGTCCATATTTGAATGTACACACCTAAATCTGCAGTGTATTATTCCCTCAACCTACACCTTATCAAATCTTTTGTTTCTCAAATCAATTTTTATTCTACAATCAGCAGTATGTATGAATTGACAACGCATTTGAATGGTTTGCGTTATTATGTAATAAATTCCTGTCAATCCTTTCCCAGAAATATTAGCTTTTAAATACCTGAAGACACAAACCATTTAGGAGTGTCCATGTATGAAATTATATGCCAACACCACATAACAATTATAAATACTTTTACTAGATGTTCTGTAAAGAATTAAACTATCTTGTCATCATGACAAAAGCAGCATGCGTCATATTACACTTTCTTTTCACGCCTTCTCTTTCCAAGATATGGACACTAGTCAAGGAAAAAAGGATAATAACTATCCAATGACATTTGTAAATAAATATCCTTTATACGTAGATGCAGGTGTCGACCACAAAACAGAGGTCAACACATACAGATATATAGCATGTTCAAATATTTGTACATAAATGTAATTTTACTGAAGTACCTCAATCTTCATGCTATGTCAGATTTATCATCATCCATATTGATCAGTATAAAGATGTATTTTGCGTTTTCTTGAGGTTTTTTTTCTCTTATTTTTGTGATTGATCTTTTTTTTCTTTGTTTCTTTTCATTCTTATGAGACGAGTCAATAATGAAAACAACCCCCTCCTCCCCCCCCCCCCACCAACCCTTTAAAAAAAACACACACAACAAACCAAAAACAAATTTTTCTTAATATGAGCCGACACATACACTGATAAGTTATAAGGTGCTATTTTCACTGGAAATATGGTACCTAACAGTTGATTTATCTACAGTTTAATTTGTCCCATCTCCACTTACCAAAAGATAGAAACTAAATAACAAAATTATCTATCACGTTATGTTTTTATTCAGAAAGATTAATTTCTTACTATTTATAACAATTACTGACATCTCTCCCATCTACTAATATAAGGACACTAAGCTAGTATTTACTGAGCATAGACACATTCTGTGCAAACTTTTTTATTCTCCTTGTAAACTTCAATTAAGACTACAATATATGTACACTGTAAATACTAACTATATATACTAAAAGTAGGTTAATACGTCTACATTATTATTGATTAGCTCATTAGATGATTTCAGCAGGTGATTTTATAACTTGCCTCAGGTACTGGATTGATTTAAACAAAGGACATTAAAGTGTCAGCTTAAAACATATTTAATATATAGATCATACCTTACATACACTAAGTAGTACATGTCTCAAAGCGACAGAAGTCAGTTGCTAATTAGTCAGAGATAAGAAACCTGTCACTGTCGTTAACCCAGTCTTTGTTTTGTCTAACAGCCACATCATATGTATATATAGGAGATGTTATATACCAAATTCTATCTCAATGCACCAGCCTCGACATTATATATAATTCCTACTGCATTTTCTGATCGTATTGATCTGGTGATGAGTCACCCAAGGCCTCTGCCGGTGGTATCTGTAGACTTTATCTCCCAGGTTTTATCAATTCCTGTCTCTGTTTCTTTTAGTTCCACGTTTCTTTGAAATTGTTAAGTTTACTGTTATTTTTGTCTTTATTCTCTCTAGAACATCATCATGGTTTCACCAGCAATGTCTGATGTATGAACCAGCTTAATGATTATGAGATTGTTTTCAATAAATTTCAATATCAGATATATTTTAATATAGTGAACTGGCATCCATTCCATCCCTAACCAAATACTAGTAAAAGTATACCAAAAGTATTTAAATTATGTTTGTATATATTTAAAGGTACACATATTTGCTGTATCGATAAGAACCACATGCAGTAAAATGCATTGCCTTGAAGGCATTTCAACAGGAAGTCAGAATTCAACAGCCCTTCCCAAGTAAATAGGATTTTTTACAATCCTTAAACAGTTCATACAATGATGTAGCTGACAATCAAGTAATCAATGAACTATCATCCTAATTCAAACATTTTTATAAATTATACACTTCTAGTTTGAAAATACTATTCAACCTGTAATATGTATAACATCTGGCATTTTTATTTGAACCTAATACCTATTCAATTACTAAAATGTCACTAAAAACCAAAAATAAAATATCCACAAAAGACATCCAGAGTATAAAAAATACCATTCCAAGAGTTACATCCAAAATTAAAATTTTCCAGACACTTACCTCCGAGATTCTTTTTGATATTCCTTTGGCATGGGATAATTTGACATTACTGGTTTTGTTCATTCTAATTTTTCTACGACAACATCGCCACCACTTGTTCTGGGTGTCGTTATCGATATCATCTATGCACACCTGTATGTCACCATATGACATGCAGGTACCAGTGCCAATACAGGTGTTGGCCAGAGTACCATCCTGGGTGAGGTAGACTAGGTGGGTGAGGTTGACACCCCCCTCCTCTGACTTATCACTTGTCATCATCATCATCACCAGCTCTCAGCTCCATCAGTGACATGACATACACTATCATACTAACAGCATGAATTTCATCATTAACATATATATCCTTAGATTGGAAGATAACAAGATATCCAAATATGTGTAAAAACTGTAGAAAAACAATACACACAAACACTTAATCCTCAGTGTGTTATAAGCAGAGTACTCAATTTGGCGATTTCCTTTATGCTGACAGGTTACTTGAAGCCTCAGAAAATCCTTGCACACTAATAAAGCCACCAAAGGCAGTTGGTGAAAATGGGAGATAGATCACGACCTGTATAAGATAACCATTATATATTTGATAACATCAACTGATATTACACACATCAGTCATCTATTTCAGTGGCGAACAAGTGTTAATTGGTGTAATTTGTTCCACTGGCCATTGTCAGGTTCTTCCCCCTGCACCAGACAATTATCTGCTCTTCATTGTCTTGTTGGATAGGAAGTGGAATTGTAATGTCTCTAGCCCCAGGTCAGGTCACCAAACAATCGGTGCCATACCTCCTGCTGGTCCTTCACAGCCAGCTCCTGTCCCAAACACAGTTAATTCATAACTCTACCATAAAACATATAACTGGAAAATTTCACTCCAGATGGTTGTAAGATTGATCCTTCCAGTTGTAGTGCCACAGTATAGCATGTGTTTTAGGACACAATATCAATATGTTTCTACTATGGATTGTTATGTGAAACAGTCACATCTGCCATTTTATTTTTTCCCTCCTCCAGTTGTTACTGTGAGCTCCTGAATTGCAGTAGACTAATGTCCTCACTGGAACGACATCCTAGCTATACAGGTACAGGGTAGATATTGGAAGAGATAATGAGGTTAGCTGACCGTCATCTGTCATTCACAAGCTAGATACATCAACAGAAAGATGGAGAACTCTACCTTACACACACCTCATTCATTATAGCCTCCAACACCCGGCTAGTTTATCATCTGAGAAAATGTGTCCCACTGTTTTTGTGTCATCTACTCGGCATGAGTGTGTGTACGGTTGGGCCATTTGATAATTCCTTGTTGTGTGCACTTAGACAAAACAGTTATACTATAGGTGTACTGAGCGTAGTACAGTGGAGTTTATCCGTGGCTGATTGATTTACCTGGTTAAACACCGGTACTATAATACACAGGCACAATACAATTCATTCACCAAAACAGGAAAAACGTCTCCAATCATACATGTCTAACACATACACTGGCCAGGTTCCATTACCATACAACACCTATACATATATGCCACTGGTTTCAAACCAATCCATCCATTAAATAGTGGTATTATAAGTACAGCAATATTACAGGTCTGTCTGACATCATGTGACCTATTTTACTACACAGAAAATCTCTTGGAAAGTCCCCTCCAGCCAGTCCTTGGGTAATTTATATGAGATCAATAAACGCCCTCACTGATGTTCTATCAATATAATGGTTCAGCTATGATCGCCTATTCACTGAAACAACGACACATTGTATCATAATATGGATAATATGTCCAATGCCTTGGACACATGTTCTGGACAGCCGTCCTCTAATGAGAACAGTGATGAAGTCAGTCAACCGTGATCGACAGCCACTGCAGTCCCAAACTGTAATGAACTGAAGAAGGAAATCAATACCCGAGATACTGCAGTGGGGATATCAAATAGAAATTCAACACAAAAAGACTCTTGGTTTTTGTCAGTTGAAGAAGAATGCTGCATATGGTACGCAGGGCAGATATTTTGTGATCAATATAATTTTCAAAGTTTTGTGCTATCATTATCTTGTAATTATCAGTGAATTTCTACATATTCTTTTATAATGCGTATGTCCATTGTTCACTTTAACTCCTGTAGCCAGGTTAAAAGTCTGCTGATGTAAGATGTAAAATATGTTTATTTCTTTTGCAGTGCATGCATTAGTTTTACATAATACTGCCCTGCAATTAGCAAGCCAATTACAGACTAAGTTTGACAACATATCAATAACAGGAAGCATTTTTAAATCGTCTAACTTTAAACCTCAAACAGCCTTACTAAGTATTATCAGCTATGAATAATTATGGATAATTTAAGTATTATATTTCTGCAAAAAAACATGTCCTTTCATCTCAGTTTTTGCATCATGTGACTTTAAACAAGAATTATTTAATACTGTATATTGACCAAACAAAGAAAATTATAATAATTTTACTTCTTAAACCAGTTGTTGGTTGTCATAACAACCTATACCACTTGTTGGCTACCACAGCAATCGCAGTAATTAAGGTGACTGTACATATGTACATATTCTCTAATTGATAAAACTTAAGTTTCAGTTTTTATAGAATTTCAAAGAGATATATTTCTTTAAATAAAATGTAGTGATCAGAAACCAAGACCAAGATTTATTGACAGTTTAGATTTAACATTTAGACTTAACACAGGTTATCTCCCTTTACTTTCAAATATGGGTAAAAAGGTAGGTCTAGCTAGTGTCATGTTGATAAAATGATTTACTAACATCTTACTTTTATCATTTATTGGTCAAATCAGTACTGCAGTGTTTCAGTAAAATGTTTCAGCAGAAATGTATACTCAAATTTTAAAAAAAACAAAAAAATAGACAATGCGCAACATGGATCCAAAAAATTGGTCGGGTTGCTGGATGAGTGCAATGTTATGTAACCCTAGCAAAATACTAGCTGCAATATACTACTCGGCTAGAGAGAACTTCTCTTTAGCTCGATTGGTTGAGCATCAGACTAGTAAGCCAGGGGTCCCGGGTTCGATTCTTAGCGGAGGCATTGAGATGAAAAATGACCTCTGTTATATTAGCGCCCATGTAGGGACCCGGGAATAGTACTTAGCCATGCCCCATCAGCATCGCTGTAACCCCTGGAAACTCGAGTACCACCAGCGTTACTTTCACAAGTACTGCTGTGACCCCTGGACACTCAAGGACGAGTTATTTCCTAGAGAGGGAGTATGTAACCCTGGTAAAATACTAGCTGCAATATACTACTCGGCTAGAGAGAACTTCTCTTTAGCTCGATGGTTGAGCGTCAGACTAGTAAGCCAGGGGTCCTGGGTTCGATTCCTAGCGGAGTCATTGAGATGAAAAATGGCCTCTGTTATAGTTATATGGTATTTATAAGATAGTTAAGGGTGTTTCATTTGTTAAGTATGTAGAATATTTGTTATAAGAGAGAAAGTTTGGTTGTATTTTATTAATTGGTACAGAAGAAGGGCATTTGAAGAAAGAAGTTGCAGCCATTTTTGATACAGAGTTGTTCAAAAAATAGACAATGGATATCTAGGGCCCTTCCATGACAAACTGCAGAAAATGACTAAGTTCCAAAGCCCGGAAAATCCAAAAAAATATCCGAAATGAATCCATAATAGGAGGTGCACATCTTCAACATATATTTAAACATCCTACAAAGTTTCAAGCTTCTACATCAAAAGCTCTAGGAGTTGATTCTACAAAACTGGTTCCCCTTTTCCCTGCCTGCCCGCCCAGCTGCCCGCACGACATTCACCGTACTATAACCTGGATTTGCACTATGTACAACCCGGCCAAAAATGAAGAAGTGAAAAACAAAATATGGTCCAACAGATTGTACTCTATTAATCCTTATTTACTAGGTCATTTTGCACTACTCAGACCTAGTTATGCTGACACGGCTATTGGTTTGGGTTTTATTATTATATGAACACAATTATGACCTTTTTCAAACTTGTTTTAACATAGAAGCATAAATTTCATTATATGTTTATAATTCCCTCTGAAAGGATGTATTAATACTACACAGGTGACTAAATATCAGCTATTTCTTGGGTATCAAGAGCTATAAAGTAGTTTTTTTCACATTCAGAAACATAAGTGCTCATGTAATTTTGTTATAAGCTAAACATTTCATAAATAATGACAAATATACACATAGGAAGTATTGGTTTAAAATTCACAACAAGCCTAAAGGTGTGGAAACTACGTCAAAAAAGCAGCATTCAAATCTGCTAGGATTATGTATTTGAAAGGTACTGGTTCAGTAGAAAGGGACCCATCATTTCCATAAACAGCATGAATCATGCTGTTTATCAACAACTAGTGTGATATAGTGTTGATGATTTTACCTCACAGGTGAGTGAGCCATGCTTATTAACTCACTACATACATCAGTCTGCATGACGCAACCATACCTTCATTACCAGTACCTAACTCCTATCACAGAAAGGTCTAATCAATGTACACATTCATGCTACCTGACACAGATACATGCCAATAATTATCTGCTGGTCTTAATTGGTTCAGCCAAGGACCAGACCTGCCATGATAAATCTATAGTAGGAAGATAGGCCAACATAATGTTTCTTCACTCTGTGGGAATATACAACTTAAAGTACAAACTTGCTCCAGTTTCGACCAGGTTTTTTCAAGTTGTTCAAAAGTGAAACATATAAGATGTTGTATACATAACAACTACAGAAATGGTATTTCCTTTTTTATAACCATAGAGCAAAACTAAAGTCATATCTGACCAAAAAATTGGTGACATTTATTTTTAATTTCTTTTTTCGCTTTTTGCAACCTAATGGTTTGGAATCAAAGTTGTACTTTGAGATATGTTGTTTCTAGCATAAATTTATGAAGCTCAGACTTAGGGTCATCAGTAATTTTTGTCACACAATTTTATTTGTGAAACTGAAAAGACAACAAAACTTTATTGTTTTTATAAAATATTAAATGGGTGGAATGGGTGACACAGTGGTTGTGCTTTTCATCTAGACTATGTGTAAAGGTTTGGAGTCACCTGTCTGACCATGTGGGTTTTCCTAGGTAAGATCGCCCTGCGCTTATATTAAGGGTCAACAAGAGTGATTGATTTAAACTTATGACTTATTTTGAAATGTCGTCACATGAATGAAGTATATTTTTTTACATTTTGAAATATTTTTACTTAAAAGCTTTAAAAAAAATAGCAATATGTGATAAATGATGCAGTGATAAATCTGCTTACTTGTCA